GCATTGTAGAAGGTGTAAATATTGAAGAAAAAAGACAAATCGTTAATTTAAAAAAAATCTACTATATTTGATTGGGCGTAATTAAATATGATTCAAAAATAATTAAAATAGAGTAAAAATAATTATAGCTAAAGGAAATAAATATAAACTTAAATTAAATATAAACTTAAATTAAATATAAACTTAAATTAAATCTAACTTACCTTCTACTGAAATCCTTTAGCTTTAAATCTCAGTATGATCACACTACATGCAAATAAGTGAAAAAAAATAAAAATTCTGCGATTAATTAAAAAATACGGATGACAAAATTTTTCATAAAAAGAAGTTTTTCATAGAAAGAAGAAGATTTATGATTTATTTATTTATATTAATCATTATTCCAAAATTTATTGAAAGAAATATCAGAGTCATTGTCCACTCTTGTTCTAATAACTCTGCAAAATGTTGAACTTCCATTTCCAAGCTATTCAGATTTTTTTTCCACCTTTAGAATGGATTATTCTTTTATTTAAGGATTATTTAGGACAAATTGCATTTCTGAAAGTGACAGCCTTTCCCTTTGACTCAATCTTTCCCATCTCTCACCCCACCTTAAAATTCTCCCCTTTCTTGCCAGCCAGTGAATATACTATTCAATGCAATTTTGACTTTCATGCTGTCTTTCATGTGCTGCAGATTTCATTCTGTTCTCCTTCAACCCTGATTCTCCTTCAACAGACACCTTCACTTCAAATCAGATCTCCCACTCCTTTACTTTTACCACCACTCATTGCTCATTTATGGTATAACAATAATCCACTACAAAGAAACATCATAGTAACTATTTTCAAGAAAGGAATTCATAAAGAAATTGCCAATAAATGTACTTTTAAATTATGTAGTAGGAAAGGGGGTACTCTTTTGGTACTGAATACCAATCAGTATTTGCCTGAAACTATAAGGTGGCGCTTTATCGGTATTTCATAGTACTACATATACATTATCTAAATTGAAACGCTGAACTGTGTTGTCAAATTTTCTAACTAAGTTCAGTTTTGCAATTTTTGTAATTAAAAAAAAAATTTTTTTCTCAAGAGTAGCACCCATGCTGTGTTATTCTATTCATTTAGTTAAACATAATTTTAAATATTTTTTTTTGTTGGCAGAAACTCACAATTAAATTCATTGCAAAATAAAGAAAAATTCAAAATTTGTTGATTCATTCCTCGTTGATATTTCGCTATCTCTTCATCACTGGTATGAGCACCTGTGGCTAAAAGATATTACTTGTTCGCACACATTTTCATTGTTCTGTTTACTTGTAATGTTTTGTAAATATAATAAAATATGCTATTTTGTAGCAACAACACTGGCCAAAACAAGAAACTAGAGATCAAGAAACCAAAACAGCTTACTGTTTTTACATCAATTTTTGATTCAATAGACAAGTGATTAATGTATTATGGTTTGCCTGAGCTAATTTTTCATGGTCCCAGACCAACAGACATCCGTGAGGTTTGAGCAATGTAGTTATATATAGGGTATAAAAAGAGTTTAGAAATGATCAAATATCTTGAGAAATATGCATCAAATTGAAAAAGCTCAGTATTTTTTACATGAGTATTTTTTACACGAGAACATGCTCAGTATTTTTTAATAAAAGCTATCCAATGATGTCAATCATTTGGTTGGTGCAACTTCGAAATCTTAAATATGAAGCTCTATTTTTGTTGCAGATTTGGATTCTCCAAAAAAAGTAACACTATTTGACCATAGATTAGTGTATTTTGCTTCACAGAGGGTACTGTAACTTGATTTAAAACATAAAATTAGAAAAGTTAAAAAAAAAAATTTTTTTTTCTTGCAAAAAAAAAATTCCGAAACATTTTTATTTTTACAATTTTTTTTTCATTCTGATTGATCAATTCAAACAGTTTGTACCTTATTTTAATTTTCTCAATTATATCTCATTTGTAAAGCAAAATGTATACACCTATAGGTCCAATAGGGTTACTTTTTTCTGGAGAATCTGAATCTGCAATAAAAAATGCGGTTTCATATTTAGTAATCACTTTTTCAGTTTGATATATATTTTTCAAGATATTTTACAGTTTCTAAACTTTTTTACACTCTGTATATATTTCCCAATTTTTGAATCACTTTTTATTTTAAATATCTGTATTGTATTTTGGAGACAAATCTTTTTTTCACAAATGAACGAAATAATTTATTTGTTCGAACTATTTCCCATTTTCATAAGTTCTGGATGTTCATCTTTTTATTATATATATTGAAGCATCTTTTATAATTAATAATTTAAACATGACTGATGGGCTATAAAATCAAAATTTTCTTTTCTTTAATATTTTCAACAGATTTCTCTAAAGAAGTAACTGTGCAGATTGGCAATTGTGCACATACGGCCATTCAAGCTAGTTTTTTTTTAAGTGCAGTTTTTTCTATTCAAGCACATTTGGTTTATGATTATTTTACTGTAACAGCTATTTTCTACCTTTTCGATAGTTGTTTTTTAACCATCATTGAACAATTGATTCATAGAGAAAGCTTTAAATTAAAACCCAACCCAAAAGAGAAGGAAACTCCCAGTTTAAGTATTGGAAATTTGCTTTTGTTAAGGACTTATGAGGGAAACTATATGATCAACATTTGCAGTACATTGAGAAGAAAACCTCTCATGCTAAGTCCAAAGGAAAGAGAATTTTAACCCTTGATCATCTGTGACTGGGTATACTAGACTACTATGACTGCATTTTATAGATATGTCTTATATTACTATATTACTATAACTGAGGATATATCCGAATCGACTTTGGTTCTGATTGGTCTGGATATTCGGTTCTCTACTGTACTTACTTCTATAGCATTCAGTATGTTATAATCCCACTTATATCCTTTTTTTAATTGGTTAAATGCTATGGTGGTATCCATCAGGAACATAATTTTAAAAGTTTAAGTTGGATTACAAAGGTTTAAAACATAGACATCATTGTCTTGGGGAACATGGGTATATGTCCACCTTGATAGTTAGATAATAGGTAATAACAGGGCACCTGGAAAGTCATGAATTTCAGTATTGAGCAAAATTTGTCATGAAATGTCATGATTTTTACTATTTTTTTAAAAAAAAATCATGGAAAGTCATGGATTTAGGACTCCGAAAAATCTTAATTTTTAAAATGAAATCCCCCTCCCCCCAATTTATCTTGTTCCTAATATCTGAATTCCTAAGAAAATCACCACTCAGCCATATTTTATTAGAATATAAAATGATTTTATCATGTTCTTTAAAAATTATGGTGTTCTTTCAGAAAATGAAAGAAAAAACATCATTTCTAGAACGGATTATCTTTTAAATTTCTGTGATTTACGTATTTTTATTATTTATTTTTAATTTTATCAATTTAAAATTCTAGCTGAAGCAAGCCAGTCATTGGCAATTTTTTTTTTAATTCCGAAATGAGAACAGAAAAATCAGGAGTATTATTTTCCTTTCTGATGAACAAGAAAAGTATCTTTAGAATATAATTCTGCAGAAAAAAAAAAGAATTAATTGCTCAGCTATTTTATTGCTTCAACTCTTTCTTTACTCTGCTTTATAAATTTAAAATCAATAAATTTGAAGATGCAGAGTATAACAGTTTTAATTATACCTATCATTTTAATTAATGTTATTATAATGCTTTTTAAATTTATTCTGTTTTTGTCGGGGAAAATAGTAACTTCGTCAAGTCATGGAAAGTCATGAAAAGTCATGAATTTGAAAACCTAAAATGTAGCAGATACCCTGTAATAAAATAGTTTACGAATCATCAGCAATTTAAGTTTAGCAAACTTGGGTTAGCTTAGTTTCCAAACAAATTTAGAAATTAAAAACAATTAAACAATGAATTTTGCAAATATTTGTTAGAGGAAAGGAAGTTTTTAAATTTTTTCTTTCAAATGTGAGATTTTGAGAAAAATTGTAATAATCTATTTTAATTTCAACCCCTCCTAAAATTTGATGTCTTAGATGCCCGTGGCTTTATGATGTTGTTAGTTCTAAAACTTAAAATTTGTTTACTGAATCAAAACTTTGGCTTATGTAAGAAGCACATTTAAATGTGTTTTAAATTTTAATTTGGGACCTTAAAGATGTTATTATTTTCTTCCAAGATTCAAGTTTGATTTAATCTGCTTTTATTTGTGTTTTTTATTTGCTTATGATACTCTAGTTATGATTTGTTTTGATTGAAGTTAAAACATTTGATATTAGTTGGTAAAAATTAAATTTTGTCTCTATGCAATTAACTTTCAGTTATAAGATTATTGAATATCAACTGCAGCTTTTAATAACTTCAAGGTTTTCTTTTTCAAATTTTAAGATCAAGGGGGAAGATAAACAGTTTATGTCCATAAAAGCTCATTTTGAAAAAAAATTAAGTTAGATAGTAATTGTTTTCCCCTAGTACGAATTTATATATAATACATCAATAATATGTAATATATATATAATCCATCTATCTTCACTGTGTAATAACTCTCGGGGAGAATGGATTTTCTGCATTATTCATCTGTCAAATCTTAATAATCCTCAAACTGCTACATATGATGATCCAATCTTTTACTTTTTTGTGAAAAATAGACTTAAACCGTTCTTCCTCTATGATATTTAATTTGCTATTTAAAATTTTTTTCATTGATTTTATGTTACCTTATTGCTAATCTTTTTAAATTTTTACCTTAAAAAGCATGTCTGGCAAAGGACAAAAAGAAAGGAAAAAGAGGAAGAGCGACAGAAAGGAACAGAATGTAAGCAACCAAAGTAAAAAAGTAATAGACAGGAAAGAAAAGAAATTAAGCGACGAAAGTAAAAAAGTCATCGTCAGAAAAGAAAAGAAATTAAGCGACAAAAGTAAAAAAGTCACAGACGGAAAAGAAAAGAATGTAAGTGACAAAAGTAAAGTTATAGACAAAAAAGAAAAGAAATTAAGCGAGGAAAGTAAAAAAGTCGTAGACAGAAAAGAAAAGAATGTAAGCGACAAAATTAAAAAAGTCGTAGACAGAAAAGAAAAGAATGTAAGCGACAAAAGTAAAAAAGTCGTACACAAAGAAGAAAGGAATGTAAGCAACAAAAGTAAAGAAGTCATAGACGGAAAAAAAAAGAGTGTAAAATACAAAAGTAAAAAAGTCAGCTTTGGAAAAGAAAAGAATGTAAGAGACAAAAGTAAAAAAGTCAGCTTCGGAAAAGAAAAGAATGTAAGAGACAAAAGTAAAAATGTCAGCTTCGGAAAAGAAAAGAATATAATGTGCGAAAGAAAAATAGTCAGCTTCGGAAAAGAAAGGAATATAATATACAAAAGTAACAAAGTCATCTTGGTAAAAGAAAAGAATGTAAGTGACAAAAGTGAAAAAGTCCTAGACCTAAAAGAAATGAATGTAAGTGACAAAAGTGAAAAAGTCCTAGACGTAAAAGAAATGAATGTAAGCGACAAAAGTAAAAGGCAACGTACTACTAGTGCTTCTTTGTTTCCAAAACTTGGGTGTGATGCTGATATTCATAAGATGGTAAGATTTTCTAATTTTTTTCTTTGTTGAATGTTATAATATAAAAATAAGAATCAAAATTTTTATTTTGTTGATAAATTTACTTAAATATTTAATACTACTTTTATTTTATTATTTTTACAATATTTTCAATTTAATTTATATAATTTTCATCCCATCAAAGCTCAAGTCATTAGCTTAATTGTAATTACATTTATTCTTAAATAATAATGCAATAGAGAAAATTACTAGCGTAACTGTCAAATTTTGTTTTTAAAATTTATATAACTAGAATTGTTTGTGGCTAGGTTAGAATTTCTCACAGAAGAAACATTTCTTCTAGGAGACTGACAGAAAATTAAAGAAACTTGGACAAAATGGAAAAAATTAAAAATGACCAACAATTGTTTAACAATAATGTATTTATTAATCGATAAAATTTAAGATTAATATTTAATGTAGTATAAAATTTTTTTTTGGATGTTTATTTAAGTTTTATATCTATTTTTCTACTCATAAATCTATTTTCGTTTTGTGTTTCTCTTATTTTCATAAATAAATATGTAAAGTGCACAAAAAATAAACAGACTACCCTAAATAACTTTTCATCAAATAATCGGATCTTCTTATAATCTTAATAATTGGATCCCTTATTTTCATAAATAAAAGTGTACAGTGCCCAAAAAGTAAATGGACCATCCTAAATAACTTTTAATCTATTTATTAGATCTTCACATTCTAGAACTCAATCTTAATGGTTCAAGGGGGTGACCTCAAATATGCTTTCAGATTCTCAAAATGTAGAAGGTAGCTGCAATCTGAGAAATACAGCCCCAATAATTTGGTCAGGAGAGTGGTTCAAAGTTCAGACCCCTTAAAGCTAATTTTACATTTTGAGTATTTCATCATATCTTGAGAATTTTTTAATTTAATTAAAAAATTTTGCACACAATTATGAAACTCGTTTTCTAAAGATAATTCCATGCAAAAAATCGTTTATAGTAAATTTGAATTTAAAGGTATAAAATTTTTACGTCAATTTAAAAAATGTAATTTTACTTAAATAAAATTTAAAAAATTTTTGTAAAATCAGCCAAATGGTTCCTTACAAATCAAATTTTAAAACTACGACTTTTGCAAAATTCGATTTCTCATTAACTAGTCAATCGATTTTGCTCAAATTTTGTATTTTGCCATGCAAAATTAAAATGATGTAAAAAACTGTATACCTTACAATTCAATTTTTTTTATTACTATTATTAAATAAAATTATAAAAAAATATTAGAACTTAACTACTAAAATTAATTTTTTTTGTGCATTGAATTATCTTAGGATAAACAAATTTTATAATTGTGTGCAAAAATTTTTCAATTCACTTAGTAAGCTCTCGAAATATGATGAATTACGCAAGAAGTAAAATTGACATTAAAGGGTCCAAAATTTGTACCACTTCCCATACTAAGCATGGGGACCACATTTCCCAAATTCCAGGTACCCTCTATATTTTGAGGGTCAGAAATCTGAATCCGTTGAAAAAAAGGTATATTTTTTAGGAGACAGTACCTTTTTGTGTCTGATTTCTGAACTTAAAAAAACGTCTGCAATAATTATTAGCATATTTGAGGTAACTCCTCAAACCATGAAGATTGAGTCTGAGAACATAAGGATCCCATCATTAGATCATAAGTTATTAAGGGTGGTCCGTTTATTTCTTTTTTGCATATTGTACACTCATATCTAGATAAATTATGTGTAATACTTAAATTATTTTTAGTTTACTGTTTATTTTTTCAAAGACCAGTTATCTGAAAAAGGAAGAGAAAAAAAATATTAACATATAATTATTATTTAAAAAATGCTCTTATAAAAATTATAGCTTTGTTAAATTTTTTTAATGCCAATGAATTTTTTAGAAGATTTGATAGTAATTTTGTTTTTGATGAATTTCAATTCCATATATATATACACCATATTCCATATTTATAATTACAGGGAAAAAAGAAAAGAGAATAATGAAGAAAATTAAGGGGTAAAAAATAATGAGTTTTATTTACTGCACATAATCTTCAAGTATATAGAACTCGTAAAATAAGTTAAAAACATGAAAAAATATTATAAAGATTTAGGAAAAGAGAAGAAACATTACAAAAATAAATATTTGAAAAATATTTAAGAATTTTATTTTTTAAAGAAAAGTATTTTTTATTAAATAAAATTCTAAAATATTTTATTTATATGACATTTCTTCTTCTCTTTTCATAAATCTTTATTACATTTTTTCCACTTTTATATATATATCTATATATATATATATATATATACGAGGCGCATCCAGAAAGTAAGTTTCCCTAATTTATGAAAAAAAAAAACGAACTCGCACTTTCAGGAACATATTTATTGGCAACAAGTACAAAAATACTTCAGCTATTTTTCAACATAGCCACCACCAGAATTGAGATTCTTGTCGTATCGTGGAATCAACTTTTGTATCCCTCTGTCGTAGAACTCTGCCGTCTGTGAATGGAACCAATGTGTGACAGGCGTCTTCGATTCTTCGTCCTTGCCAAAATGCTCACCGGAGACAGGAATTTCTTGAGGTGCAAGAAAACAAACACTGGGAGCAATATCAGGGCTGTAGGGTGGATGATCAAACAACCCCCAGCCAAATTTTGTTAAATCAGCTGCTGTGCGTCATGCCGTATGTGGGCAAGTATTGTCATGGAGGAGCGCAACAACTGCAGTAAATATTCCACGACTCTTGTTTTGAATGGCAAGTCACAATTTCCGCAGTGTTTCGCAGTAACGGTCACAGAAACGGTAGACGTCTGTCACACGCTGGTTCCATTCTCAGACGGCAGAGTTCTATGACAGAGGGATACAAAAGTTGATTCCACGATACGACAAGTGCCTCAATTTTGGTGGTGGCTATGTTGAAAAATAGCTTAAACATTGGTGTACTTGTTGCCAATAAATATGATTCTGAAAATGTGAGTTCTTTTTCTTTATAAATTAGGGAAACTTACTTTCTGGATGCGTCTCGTATGTATAAGATAAACTGTTATTATTTAATAAATTCTTAAATTATTTTTAATTAATTGACAAAATATATTTATTATTATTTAATTAACAAAAACTATTTTTTTCCTAAAGTTATAATATTAGTAAAGCTATTTAAATGTAAAAAAAAAGAAAAAAAAAGCTGAATCACTTATATTTGAAAACTTAAAAGTTTCGTTTAACATAAGTACTTTATAATTGAAAATTATTTTAAAATGTTCGTAAATATTTTCACAATTTTCAGTTCAAATATTAAAAAGGCTTAAAAGTTGCTTAACACTTTATCAAATTTTTTAATACTGTATATAGTTTATCATTGGTTTTAAAATGAAATTAGGTAATCAGTGAATAAAAATTCAAAATTCTTAGGTTTATTTAATAAATTATAATTAGCTTTTAATTTTTTGATTAGGTCAATAAAAATGAATCTGAGAATTGTTTTAAGCATTTGATTATGAAAATTTCATGTTATATGAAATATATGTCTCAACTCAATCTAACGACCTCAACTCTAGCTCAACTTGCAATATATTTTAAATTCGGACAAGTGACCAGCACTGAGAAAGCGCCCCTTCCAGTACCCATTTTTGTTAGCATATATTCTTTTGATTCCAACTGCATCAAGCTGAACTTGAAATGTCATTGCTTTGCGAGGAATAACGACAAAACAGAAAGGAGCAATGGGGGGAAAATAATGTTAAAGAGATTAGTAGACAAAAGAGACAAAGGTATGCTTTCTTAGAATTATTTAAGGAAGTGTGGAAAAACAGGTTTTGCACGAAAAAGTGTAATTTTGATATCTGTTTATAGAAAACCAGAAACTGATGATCTTTAATGATGAGTATTTTAGACATTTATCATAATTCGGATTTTTTTCTGATGGTTTTCAAGTTTGTAATAAACATGCTAAATTTCATATAAATCTTTCGTTTTTCTTAATAATTTTATTTGTTTATTGATTGCATGTGTTATGATCATGCTTACATTTTTCATAGGAATAAACAGATAACAAATGCGTTTATTAAAACTTAAAGAATATATATTTCACATATCTATTTTTCTAATATTGTTTTTATGATTGATTTAAAATATTTTTTAGTTTTATACATTTCCTATAATTGCAAGTGTTAATATTTTAATGTTTTCAACATGCTTCACATTAAACTTGTTGATTTAGTAATTTTATCAGTTATAATGAGTATTTTACAATCGGTGCCATTTAACCAATACTTCACAAAAAAGTATATTTTTTGTCAAAATTTGAGGGGACTCTTAAATTTGTATTTTACGGCAGTATGCTGTTTGCAATTGTGAGCACAATGTGTGATTTGTAGTATAATTTGATATATCATTTTATTGCAACATTTAAAAAGTTCTTTATATAGTAATTATAAAATAAAGTTCTGCTATATTTTTTTTTATGTAAAACACTGAAAGAGACTACATCTGTTTTAATTTCTTAAGATATTCATTATATTTCTTTTTCTTTTCAAATTTTTGCTACTTAATTTTTACTTATTTAAAAATTACTTATTAATTACTAGAAAATTAATGCTGTTTTTAAACTAAATTACAATTATATTATTTTTAAATTTTAATTTTATTGATATTCCTTTTTTAGACTTATTTTATTTTCTTAATGATTAACACCATTGCATTGTTTTATTTTTTTAAACTAAATAGTAAAAAAATTATTTCAGAAACTATTTTGATTATATCATTTCTCCAGTTTATACTCAGAGTAGAAAACATGCAAAGAAACCATATTTTCTATCTTAAATTTTGTTTGTAGCAATCGGAAAATTATTGAAATTTGTATTGTCGTCAGGCGCAGATTTCCAATTGTTAAATTTAATTTGATTATTCTAACTGGATAAAAAAGGTGGCCAAAATTTCATCTGATGACAAGCTCCCACTGGCAGTAATATGGCAAAAAGGTTTGACTGCAGTCATTGAGTAATAATTATAATTAATATCGTCATTTGACACAGAACTTAAGTTTAATTTTGACAAATTTTCCTTTTGAAAAAGTGTGTGAAATTTCTATTCATTTGAAATTTTTATTTGGTGAGTAATAATGCGACCAAAAGTTTGCTTGTATTGTTGTCAAAAATAAAGGTGCTGTTACAATTTAAGCTTTTACCCAGTTGAATGGTAGTTGGAATTTTGTTTGATAATAAATTCTATTTGGGGATAATAAATATGTTAAATTATGTTTGTACCTGTCAGGTAAAGACTAAAGCACTAGTTATTACAGATCAGAGTGTTCTAGCAGCAGAATTTTTAGAAAGCAGACAGAATTTTTATTGTAAATTGTTACCAACACAAAAGTTAATAAAAATGTACAGTAACTAAAAAAGAGCAACATTTTCCATACTAAGTTTCATTCCTTCTGTTGAAATTATTTAAACTTGAGAACAAATCGAAGTTACAAAATTTCACATACATCTGAGAAAGAAGTCTCTTATATTGCTGGTGTATTAATCTCAAATAATATATTGTAATAGAACTGATAACAATTATTTTTTGAAAAATCTGTTATAAAACTGTTTGCTAAAAAACTTTTCCTGATATAAAAAAACACTGAATTTAGTTTTATTGCTTTTTTTTCTTTTGAATTTCATTAACTCCACCAGTGAATTAAAAATTGTTAAAATATAAAAAACTTTTTGGCTATTATTTAAGTGTTGCATACTGTTAGGTTGAACTTACATCTGTATGTATGTGTTCTACAATATCAGCAGCAGGTCACCAAAAGTCCCTATTTTGTGGATTTTATGAGTTATTTATTTTATTTTTACTATTTTATTAGAAAAATATCTTTTTCCCTAAAATAGTCACAATTTTTTCGCAAGTGCTGAAAAATTGCCAAATGTGTCCCATTAGCTACCGCTTGGCACCATTCTGTCACAAACTGCATGCATTTATATTTAATGGAAAGGAATTTTCTCCATAGCAAAATTTGGCATAATTAATATATCAAAGGAGGATTTTTAAAAAATAATTTTTTTTTGCAAAATGGCAGTGTTTTGAAGAGAGATCAACCAAAGGATTTAAAATAAGTTACGTTTTCTTAGATTACTCAAAATCAGTGTACCCAATTTAAAAAAAAAAAAACCTTTGAGCTTTAATTTACTACATATTTATTGTGAACATAGATCCAAATTTGAAGTAAATCGGTTAAAAATTCTACTAGTTAGAGATATAACAAGTAAGAGAAACATAGTTTCAAGTTAATACTTACTTATAGTTTTGAATTAATATTTCTTATTTTCCTTAGTTCACATTGTATACATGGGATGCTCTGAAGAAGAGGAAAAAGTCATCAAAAGTAAAAGCTAAGGTAAAAACAAATAATCCTTTTTTTAAAAAAAATTATATTAATTAAAAATGCAATTTTAAATTTAAAAATTTAAAATGCTAATTTTTGCATTGCTGATCTGGGAAATAAACTACTTGATTTTTTGTTTTTCTGCATCAGCACTTTTTATATCAAAGTAGATTTTTATTTAACATTTAATTATATTACCATTTTAATCAGAATAGGAAATTCCTTATCAATTAAAATGTAATGTATCATTTATTCAATATCTCATCTGTTTTTCTTTATAGCTAAACAGTCTATTCTGTTTTATTAAATATTTTCTATATTGTTAGATTAATTTCTTTATGTAATTGTGCTGCATATATGCTACACTTTGTTACTTTATATTTAATGGCTGATTTAAAAATATTGGAATACTAATATTGGAATTATTTTTTTATTATGTCCTTTTCTGCTTTATTAAACATAAGTATCAATCCAATTCAAAGGATAGCGTCCAGAGTGAAATTATTAAAAGGGTTAAAAAGTTATGAGCTTTTATATTTCTGCCAAAATAGTTCTCTTGTTGCCATCTTTATTCACACACCATGGACTATTAATGGCTGTAACTTATTTTAAATTTGCCTTATAACAGTATTTTTAGTTTTGTTCAGAAATTAGTTATCCATTACTCAAGTATGATTCTATAAAAATAAGTATCCTACCACAAAAAAAAAAAAAAAAAAAAAAAAAAAAAAAAAAAAAAAAAAAAAAAAAAAAANAAAAAAAATAATAAAAAAAAGGATATCACCACTTTTACTAATGGGTGGGAGAAGGGAAAGACCCTAAAACTTGAATTTAAAATGATGCAAAATATCATTAATTGAAAGTTGTTTGCTCCAACATTAATTTTCATTTGACAATTTTGTTTGATTTCCATTATACTTTGCATTGTTTTAGTTACATTCTAAGGAGGGTCTAACCTAGCAGGCCTCCTCGTACTCTGGTTAATGCTAAATTTGTTACAGCTTTGTCAGTCTCCTGGCTTTTGACTCTTAATGTTTTCCGATCTTACCGAAGGCTTATTCAAGCAGGCGATTGAGGGTTTTTCAGTGGAATGTTGGAAGACTTGCTCATAAAAACAAATTCAACTTATGATTTTTCTCTTTGATTATGATGTCTATGTATTCTTCATTCAAAAATACAATCTCAATTATGACTCTTTTTCTACCATTGCTTTCCTGGCTATTGCTTCTAACTCCTTCCAAAACGAGAAGGTTTGTGATTGGAATTTTCTTTGGTATTAAATCTGCCCTAAAGTGCACCTTTAAAAGTGTCAGCAATTTCGCCTCTAATAATGGTGCACAGCTGGACTTAATATTGTTGGATATTTGAGCATCACTTCTGAATGTTTGGTTGTTACAGTCCTACTGAAAATACTAAAATGAATCTCGGTGATTTAATTTCTTGTAAGACTATTATCTTCAGTGATTTCAATGCTTACTACAACCTTTAGAGGTACAGTTACTACAATAAAGCTATCAGAGTCATCAAATATAAACATAATATACAACTCAAATCAGTATCCCTCATCCCCCCAAGCTCTTGGGTGCATTCTTGGGCAAATTTTAAATTCCCCCCCCCAAACTATTCGTTTTATTTAGTCTAAAACCCCCCCTAGCTTTAAGTGGGTGCATCGTGCACCCACCTTCCCCCCTGATGGGGGCCCCTGACTCAAATGACAACCCTTCTTACTTGCATTATAACGGTACTTGTACTATCTCTGACTGTATTATGGCCCCAGATGATATTTCAATCAGTGCTATTACGAATGTTATCAATGAACCAGGGTCTGGACACAGAATGATTGTGACCTTTTTAGAGCTCAAAAAGAGTTTCAGGGCAAAACAAAAAAACTCAGGGCAAAACTCAGATAGAATTTCAAAAAAGTGCAATGGAAAAAACTCAATAATATTTAAAGGCAAGATTTTAAAAAAAGTTAGAAGTGAAGGTTTTTTCACTATTTTAAACATTTAGTAAGTGCGATAAATATTTTTTATGTTAAATTAGATTTGTCATGTCTAAAAAATTTAATTCTTCTCTTAATGATCTGATTTAAAAACAATTGAAATAAAAAGTTCAATAATCTCAGATTTGTTAAATATAAATGTAGGGACCATGTAACAATTTACTTCTGACAAGAATGTCTAGCTTCAGTACTATTCTACTTATATTCCAAAACTATTGAAAATTTTTGAATCGTTTTATTAAAGAAATGCTGCACTAAGTAACAAATTTTAATAAAAATTTAATAAGGGCTATTTACTAATTCACATTAGTAATATGAATTTATTAAGTTTTCTGAATTTGCTAAATTCCTTACATATCTTTATAAATGCAGTATGATCAATAATATTAATCATGCTAATGTTTTGTTGAATGTACTTTTATTAATAACTTTTATTTAAATCTAAGAAGTACAACCAATTTTCTTTTTTAAATTATATTTTAATTAATTATAATTTTGAAGTAAATTTTTTTTTTAGTAATCAGATAAAGTAAATTTTAATTTAAAAATGTTGCGACTCAAGATTGAATATATATTTAACTCTGCATAAAGTGTTTTTATGTTGGCTGATCTAATCAAGTAAAGAGTTCTTTGTCAGAAATTAGTAATTTTTACAGATCATGTAAAGATCTTGATAATATTTTTGCTTATTGTTTATTAATATACATGAAGAAATTTTTTACACATATCCTAATTATGATTTTTTTTAAAGAAGTGCTTAAAAATATTTTTCTAGTGCTTAAATAATGCTTAAAAGGTGATTATTTTTTGTTGAAAGTTTTGGCTACGCACTCTGATGTATACTGACAATTCTCTGATGAATAGTGAGAGGGAGAAGGCAACAGAGTTTACAGTGATCTTTTTTCCTTTTAAACTTCTATATAGTGGCTAATATAATCAAGAAAAGAGAATATATTTTTATAATGTTTTTGCATTTTGTTTATTAATATATATATATATATATATATATATATATATATATATACAGTGAACTTCTTTCCCTTT